AAATGACCCGCATGCTATCAACACATGTATGGAATAAACTAGTGGACTTCCCAAAGAACAAATCTCCGGGAAGAGTGTCTGTGACTCTCAAAACTTTTAGTAGAAATCAAAGTTAATCATTACAGTCTGAAATGCTGATTCCAGGTAAAAAGACCAGAAGTACTAGGAACCCTACAAGTGAGATATTTTCTATTCAAAGACCCCAGGTTTATGAGTCTAAATAGATTCAGAGTTCTATCCAAGATAACCGCTGTAAAGCTGTCATTCGTTCTTACCTCTTTTTCGCGTTCCTTATCCTACTTTTCTCGGGTAAAAAACAAGTAAATATTATTCCACCATAAATTATCCACTTCTTCTGTTTCATTTATTAACAAGGTTACCGTTGATTTTTTTGAATTCTTTCAAATATTCCCGCCTTGTCCGTGCACTCTAGAGTGCGATAAATAAAATGAATAAGTAAGTAAATAAATAAATATGCATAATGGAATTTAGTTTCCAATGAAAAATTTTACATGAATGAATTATAGAAGACGGAGACGTTTCATTCTCAGATGATTTCACTGTCATTATTAACTACCACTCACCTCGCTTCAACTTGGCCTCTCGCAACTTCATTCAATGTTCAAAATCACTTATGGCTTTTTTGTATGTAATCAGCATTTCACGTCTCTTTCTTGAGCCTTTATTCAGAAGCTCGAAGAAGAATGGGAAGATTGTTCCTGGTTACCTCACGAATTGGGTGATTTTTCTTCTACAACCTTGGTTTCAACGATTTTTTTGGGATCGTGTTTTGGCTACGGAAACGTTGTGCCAATGAGGCCCTTTGCGTGATGGAAATAGATGTTGCGGCCGGTTACAAATCATTGGTAAGCCCAGACAAAGCCTGCATTCGAATGAGTACTCCCATTTTATTTCAAAATGGGGGAAAGGATTCTGGGTGTTTGCTGATGCTTGGATTGCCAATAACCTTTAAATGCGATGTATCGATGCCTTTTGCAGAAAGTGGATCCTCCTGTCTAGCAACCGCTCTTCCCTCATCCCCTTTAAACTTATAAAGTTGTTGTTAATACGGCTCTCATACAGTAGCTTTTTAGGATGCTGCTACCAGAACTCCTGAGACCAGCCTTCTCCAGGGTAATCGACCAGCCTTCCTCAGGGTGATCTCTTTTCCCCATCATTCACACCAGAAGGGTTCAGCCGTCATCCCTGAACATCCCCCGACAAAAAGCAAACATGACCGCGAGACTATGCGACGAAGAACACGTGCTGCGTCCTCTCACCTTTTTTTACACAAGCTTTCGCCAGCTAATCTTTATTTTCAGAGGACCCACCTTGTTGGGAGCCATTAAGAATTTTTTTGATACACCTATTTGTTATATTTCTTTTCATGCTTCTGGGTGCTCTTAACTAAAGACCTATTATCTCCTACCGTGCGTTCAGAAGCTCCGTAAAATTCACCTGCTCTGTTTATCAGATTTGAATACTCTACAATTGTTTTTTCTCTTCATGTAAGTCACAAGTATTGGCACAAAGGAAGTGATCTGAGGGATGAATTTGAATGTTAACCTGATCTCGATGAAATTGAGTATTTCCTGAATAAACACCTAACCTAGTGAGCCTTCATGCTTACAGCCTGCTGTTTTCGCAAAACTAACCGGAGCGGCGGCAAAGGGATTAGATATCTTTGCAGCATGTGATTTTTGACCGAAAGGAAATTGAAAAAAACAACTCAAGAGGAAAGAATAAATTTGGACATTATTTATTGTATGACAATTCATTGGATAGCAAAATCGTGGAGAAGTAAAGGAACTCTCGAGTAAAACCATAAATACCTATCGCTCAGTACTGGATAAGACGAGAACTCATCATCAAAGATACTGAGTTCTAGTTCTAAGCGATAGGTATTGGTATTTAAGGTTGAGAGAGTGTTGAGTGATGCATAGTTGTTGAAAAAATCATGGAGCCACAAATCTGTGGCGACTATTAATTTCTACGAGATCACAGATTTCCCAGTAGCGGCATAAAGCAGATGAAAATATGGACATCTGCTATACTCAGCGCCTTTCAATGTTCGGGGTAAGAGGGGGAGGGAAGGGAGAGGGGTTGGTGACTTTCCCCTACCTCCTCATATCTCGAAGTAGAAGATAATTTGGAGAGGATAAATTCCTCCATGGTTCAATATGCGTGAACCAGCTAATTAATACTATTTGTTAAAAAAAAACGGAAAGAAAATCAGTAGCCAGAATTCGTGAAACCACACATATTCGACAAAGTTTTTTGAGGAAAAACTCAATAAAGCCTAGACCATTTTGGAAAACTTGGACTCAGAATGATGACGCGTAGAGAATGTTAAGGAAGAAAACAAGAAAATATAATAAGTAGGAAAAAAACTACGATAAAAAAGACGTATAGAACTCAAAAAATTGACAAGGAACTGTCGTTTATTACCGATGCTCGAAAAGTGATCTGCATTTACGGGCACATGTGAAATTACGGAACATTGATAAAAAGATGGTAATCAGTTTGCACTATTTTCGTACCTTTGAATTAATTTTGCTAGTGTCTGTTTCACCATAGCAACTTTCATTTCATTTGGTGCAGTACTTTTAGATACACCTGATAATGACTGAGGCGAAACTTAGGGCCTTTTTACTGCTGACAGATGTTTGCCAGAAGTAATGTCTATATCACAGAGATAAGTCTTTATTGGCTTCATAATCCACTTGAGCAGTTATTTACGTTCCTGTCGGTGTTGTTTGTTCTCTCTGATTGTTCTGTTCTACTCCGGACAGCTTCTTCCTAACATATTTCCGTTGAAGTTCAGATGCTCCCGAGATCCCAACATGTCTGCTGGTCCGTGTAGTCAATGTATTGCCAGTTTTTAATTGTTTTGTCAACTTTTTAGTAGCTGTCAGACTAGGGCCTTAAAAAACCTCCGTAGATGAGCCATCAGCTCTTTTGATCATTCTTCTTTCGTGGCGATTTTTTTCTTTTCCGATTTTATGAGCTTCCTACTTTCGACAAGATTCAACATTTTTTGACTGAAGACGATGTTATACTGCTTTAAAAAGTTATTTCAGCAATGGCATATGCGCCTACACCAACATTCAATCTGCAGCAAATTTTTGCTTCGGTGGATAAAGATAGGTAAGGTTTCCATTAACAACATCCCGTAGCATTCCCTAGCATGATTCATTATGATTTCATCTTCTAAAGATTATTTCAAAATGATATCTAACTTCGGACCACGAAATGAGTGTAATTTTCGGGTCCTTTTGGGTCCCACTGAAAGCCGTTAATCTTGAGACAGCTGGTAACAATTAGCACCTAATTAGAGTCGGTGAGAAAGCTTTCCTTCTTTTTTTTTTGAGAAACATACAGCTTGAAAACGTTGTGTGGAATTATCTGGGTATTGAATTTGTATTAAATTTTCTATTAATGATTCAATTTTTGTCTTAGAATTAGAAACTGACATTTTGCAAACATATACACGCCTCCTTCTTCTCCGCCATATTTTTTGAATTAATCCAATGGGAGGGTAATGCGTTCATTGTTGTGGTCCCTTTTAACTTATTCCTAGCTTACAGATCGGGACAGATAAGCGTTGATGA